GTTAAGAGGGGAAGTGACTGCAGCAATTAGAAAAATAAAAAAATACATCAAATGGAAAAATGGAGAAGTAGATAGCAATTGATATAAATTAAAAGTTATTAAGTGTAGAAAATTGATAAGGGAAGCTAAAGACATCAGATGAACATCCATGGCTGGCAGGGCTAAGGACAATAAGGAGGAGTTTTTTAAGTATACCTCATCAGGTTTCTTTTGGCCCAATCCTCTAATTTGTCTAGGTCCCTCTGTATCCTATTCCTACCCTCCAGCGTATCTACCACTCCTCCCAGTTTAGTGTCATCTGCAAACTTGCTGAGAGTGCAGTCCATGCCATCCTCCAGATCATTAATGAAGATATTGAACAAAACCAGCCCCAGGACTGACCCTTGGGGCACTCCGCTTGATACTGGCTGCCAACTAGACATGGAGCCATTGATCACTACCCGTTGAGCCCGACGATCTAGCCAGCTTTTTATCCACCTTATAGTCCATTCATCCAGCCCATACTTCTTTAACTTGCCGGCAAGAATACTGTGGGAGACCGTATCCATAGCTTTGCTAAAGTCAAGGAATAACACATCCACTGCTTTCCCCTCACCCACAGACCCAGTTATCTCCTCATAGAAGGCAATTAGGTTAGTCAGGCATGACTTGCCCTTGGTGAATCCATGCTGACTGTTCCTGATCTCTTTCCTCTCCTCTAAGTGCTTCAAAATTGATTCCTTGAGGAACTGTTCCATGATTTTTCCAGGGACTGAGGTGAGGCTGACTGGCCTGTAGTTCCCCGGATCCTCCTTCTTCCCTTTTTAAAAGATGGGGACTACATTAGCCTTTTTCCAGTCATCCGGGACCTCCCCCGATCACCATGAGTTTTCAAAGTTCATGGCCAATGGCTCCGCAATCACATCCGCCAACTCTTTTAGCACCCTCGGATGCAGCGCAGCATATGAGTTTTCCTCATACGGAACCTGTTCCACACCCTTAATAATTTTTGTTGCCCTTCTCAGTACCTTTTCCAATTCTAATATATCTTCTTTGAGATAGTGTGACCAAAACCGTATGCAACATTCAAGGTGTGGGCATACTATGGATTTATATAGTGGCATTATGATATTTTCTGTTTTATTATCTATTCCCTTCCTAATGGTTCCTAACATTCTGTTACCTTTTTTGACTGCTGCTGTACATTGAGTGCTGGGGGGGCTACCCCTGGGGCCCAATCCGGAGCGATGGCAGAAGGAGGAGGGGTGACTATGGGAGCTGGGCCACCAGGGTCACCGATGGCAGGGCCGGCGCTCTCCCGGATCTCGCGGGGTCCCTGGTGCCCCTCTATGCTGGACCAGGGGGCAGTCCCTCCAGACCTGCCCCATCACCTGGCAAAGGTAACACCAGACCTCCCCTGAGGAGTAGTGCACCCGGTAGTTGGTCCCCTGGTAGGGCACCAGACAGGACCCCTCGAGCACCACCCCGCCACGCACCGCCGGCAGCAGTTGGTTGGACCTGCTGGCGGAAGGACAGGATGTGACGGAGGGCGGGGTCCTTGCAGCCCAGTGGTAGAGGGCTGATAATAGAAATGGGCTTCCCCAGGGTGGAGAGAAGGGTAAAAGGGCAGCGCTGGGCAGGGCAGTGCATGGAGCCCCTGTGGCCACCTCCACACCTAGGAGCCAGAGGCAAATGCCGACTGCTTCCCGGGGGCAGCCAACAGGACTTTTAACGACCTGATCAGCAGTGGTGGCCGGAGCCGCCAGGGTCCCTTTTTGCCTGGGTGTTCTGGTCAAAAAACGGATGCCTCACAACCCTAGTGAAGTCTTTCTAAACAATTGCTCTAGCTCAAACATGGGTTTGGGGCTTAATACTAGGCAATATTCTATAGCCTGTGTTATGCACCAGATCAGACTAGCTGACCCTAATACTCTTTTCTGGCCCTCCAATATTAGGGTTGCCAACCTTCCCAGACTGGCCAGGAGTCTCCTGAAATTGGCCTTGATCTCCCAGTGGCTATTGAAAGCCATCCGGGAGATTTTAATAGGCCAAAAGTCCAGTGGGTGGCGAAGCAGGGCTAAGGCAGGCTCCGTACCTGCCTTGGCTCCGCGTGGCTCCTGGAAGTTACCGGCATGTCCCTCTGGCTCCTAGGCGTAGGGGCGGTGAGGGGGTCTCTGCTCCGGGAACCGCAGCCAATGGGAGCTGTGAGGGCGGGGGCAGCGCACTGCAGAGCCACCTGGCCACCCTGAGCCTAAGAGCCGGACATGCCGGTCACTTCCGGGAGCTGCCTGAGATAAGCGCTGCCCAGCTGGAGCCTGCATCCCAAACCCCCTCCCACACTCCAACCCCCTGCCCCAGTCCTGAGCCCCCTCCCACACCCAAACTCCCTCCCAGAGCCCACACCTAGGGTTGCCAACTTTTTATTGCAACAAAACTGAACACCCTAGCCCCTCCCTTCCTCAGAGGTCCCTCCCCAGAGGCCCCGCCCACTACATTCCCCCTTCCTCACTGGCTCGCTCTCTCCCATTCTCACTCACTTTCACTGGGCTGGGGCAGGGGGTTGGGGTGCGGGAGAGGGTGAGGGCTCTTAATGGGGGTGCAGCCAGAAATGAGGGGTTCAGGGTGCGGGAGGGGGCTCTGGGCTGGGGCAGGGAGGTGGAGTGTGGGAAGGGGTGAGGGTTAGGGTTAGGGTTAGGGTGCTGGCTCTGTGGTGGGGCTGGGGATGAGGGGTTTGGGGTGCAGGAGTGGGTTCGAGGCTGGGGTGTGGGGCCAAGGGATTTGGAATGTGGGAGGGGGCTGAGGGTTGAGGCAGGGGGTTGGGGTGTGGAAGGGGTGAGGGCTCTAGGCTGGGGGTGCTGGCTCTGGGGTGGGGCTGGGGATGAGGGGTTTTGGGTGGAGGAGGGGGCTCTGGGTTGGGGGGCTCAGGGCTGGGGTAGGGGGTTGGGGTTTGGGGTTGGGGCATGGGCTTACCTTGGGCGGCTCCCAGTCAGTGTTGCAGTGGGGGTGCTAAGACAGGCTTCCTGCCTGTCCCGGGGCACTGCGCTTGCGCCCCAGAAGTGGCCAGCAGGTCCGGCTCCTAGGCGGGGGGGCGGGGGCAGTAGGCTCCATGGTGCGTACTGCTCTCTCCCGCAGGCACTGTCCCCCCAGCTCGGCCAATGGGAGTACAGAGTCGGTGCTCGGGGTGGGGGCAGCACACGCCATGGAGCCTCCTGCCTCCCGCCCCACCTAGGAGTGGGATGTGCTGGCTGCTTCCGATGCACAGCGTGGTGCCCCAGGACAGGTAGGGACTAGCCTGACTTGGCTCCGCAGCACCGCCGACCCGACTTTTACTGGCCCGGTTGGCAGTGCTGACCGAAGCCACCAGGGTCCCTTTTCAACCGTGTGTTCCGGTTGAAAACCAGACACCTGGTCACCCTGGTACACTCCCTCCCACACCCCCAACCCCTCCACCCCAGCCCGGAGCCCCCTCCTGCACCCAAACTCCCTTCCAGAGCCCACACCCCCTTCTGCACCCCAACCCTCCGCCCCATCCTGATGAAAGTGAGTGAGGGTGGGGGAGAGCGAGTGACTGAGGGAGGGAGGATGGAGTGAGCAGGGGGCGAGGCCTTGGAGAAGGGGCATGGCAGGGGGATGGCCTAGGGAAGGGGCAGGGAAGGGGGTGGGGCAAAGGTGTTTGGGTTTGATTAAAAACAACGAGGAGTTCTTGTGGCACTTTAGAGACTAACAAATTTATTTTGGGAATAAACTTTCATGGGCTAGAACCCACTTCATCAGATGCATGGAGTGGAAAATACAGGAGCAGATATAAATACATGAAAAGATGGGAGTTGCCTTACCAAGTGTGAGGTCAGTCTAACGAGACAATTCAATTAAGGGAGGAAACATAACTTTTGTAGTGGTAATGAGAGTGGCCCATTTCAAACAGTTGACAAGAAGGTGTGAGTAACAGTAGGGGGAAATTAGTATGGGGGAAATTAGGTTTAGGTTTTGTAATGACCCAAACACTACCAGTCTTTATTCAGGCCTAATTTGATGGTGTCCAGTTTGCAAATTAATTCCAGTTCTGCAGTTTCCCATTGGAGTCTGTTTTTGAAGGTTTTTTGTTGAAGAATTGCCACTTTTAGGTCTGTTATTGAGTGACCAGGGAGATTGAAGTGTTCTCCTACTGGTTTTTGAATGTCATAATTCCTGATGTCAGATTTGTGTCCATTTATTCTTTTGTGTAGAGACTGTCCGGTTTGGCCAAAGTACATGGCAGAGGGGCATTGCTGGCACATGATGGCATATATCACGTTGATTAGACAGTTGGTAATCGTGAGCTGCACTATGGAGTCACAGGCGTCCCCCTGTGGTTTCCCCGGAAGCAGGGGCAGCTCCAGGCACCAGCGCAGCAAGCGTGTGCCTGGGGTGGCAAGCCGCGGGAGGTGGCGTGCCAGTTGCCGTGAGGGCGGCAGTCAGGCGGCATTCGGCGGCGTGCCTGCGGGAGATCCGCTGGTCCCGCGGTTTCGGCGGCAATTCGGCGGCGGGTACGCCGAAGCGTGGGACCGGCAGATCACCCGCAGAAACACCGCCGAATCCGTGTGACCGCGGACCGCCCGCAGGCGTGCCGCTGAAGGCCGCCTGACTGCCGTGCTTGGGGTGGCAAAAACCATAGAGCCGCCCCTGCCCGGAAGCTGAGCGGAGGCCTAATGACAATGGGGGAGCTCTCACGGTGATAGTTGTGGGTTTAACTTTTTACAATAGCTGACTTGGCAAACGCCAGCTGTGTAGACGCTGCCCCTGCCCCAAGGCACGGGTCAGGGGAGCGCGAGGAGCGGCTCGCGAAGCAGAGAGAGGGCGCCCCCTGGCTTGGGTTCCGTGACCCAACGGCCCGCAGTACTTCCCACACAGAGGGCGAGTGAGACGCTCTGCGCATGCGCGCAAGGCACCCCTCCCGCTATTTCTATGGCAACAGTAATCAACAGGCCTACTTGCGGTTTGGGTCCCGGCGTGCACCTCGGCAGCGGGGTCTCGCGCTGATTCCCCACGTTCAGTCGTGTCTTCAGCGAGGGGAGCCCGCCGGGAGACTGGGGGCGCCTCAGGCGTCAGCATTAGCCGCGTCTCCGCTCCGGGCCCCCGGCTAGGACTGAGGCAGCATGAGCGTGGCGGAGGTGGAGGAGCTCGTCTCCCAGAAATACGAGATCAAGAAGCGCCTGGGCAAGGGGGTGAGCGCGGCCGATGCCCCCCGGGGTAGGACCTCCTGCGCCTTCTGAGCGCGAGCGGCTGGCCCCTGCCTGAGCCTCGGGAAGCCGGAGGGTGGGATTGAACCCAGGCTGCCCCCGCCCGGTAACCAGGGGCTGTGGGGGCAGAAACGCCCCTTCCCCCAGTGGTAGCTGGGCTCCTGCTGCCCGGGAGACGGGCTGCGCTGCACGCCGCGGCCGAAGCCCCACGGCTCTGGAAAATGCCAGGGTGGCGACAAGTTAATCCTGAGGCGGGGAGAAAGGGAAACACAAGCAAGTGAAGTGGGAAGCTTGGAATGGCCCCGCCTTCAACTTTGTAAGTGATGTTTAATGTTAGAGCAGCCCAGTCGGAAACAATGACCATGTCAGTCCTTTGTCTGAGCAGGGCTGACAGCAAATCCATGTTCGTGCTGTGCTTTCTAAATGCTGACTCTTAATATTAGGCAAGCAAACAACAGGAAAAAGCAGGATTTTCCTGCTGATCTAGCCTGAGGGATGCAGGACTTGCTGGGGTGTTTTACAGTTTAATGCTTTTTAAAGGGTAAACCCAACCAGTTCAGACCTCCCAATTAATTTTCTTAATTAAAATAAAGTTTTAAATGACCCAAGTTGCTGATAAAGTGGAGGAATAGAGGGTTTAAGGAAAAGAGGTAGTTTTAATCCCCTCATCCTTCTACAATGCACGGTTTACCTTTTAAGTAGTGCTTTATGACTCTTCATTCATATTTTCTATTAAAATTAGACTGGGAGCTATTTTTTCATTTTTTTTTCAATAGAAAGCTGGTTGAAAACATTCCTGAAAGGGCAACTAGACTTATTAGGGGGAATGTGGTCTGACAAGGCCAAGAATTTATATAAGAGAAAAGTGAAATATTTCTTAAAATGCATGCAAAACCCTGTAGGCACCTAAACTCACTCGGTGCCTAAGTTTTTCAAGGTAAAAATTCCCTACATGCCTACATTTATGCCTCTGGGTATGCTCACTGCTGTCTTACTCTAAGCATCTGGCTGTCTATCTACCACTTAAGCCCCAGAGCATTTCTCAAACCAGGGGAAGATAGGCATTCAGCTGCCTAACTTCATGCAGGGCTCAAATTGGTAGGCATGCTTAGAGGTGCCTGTTGGATTGGGTCCCATTCAGAATCGAAGAGGAGGAGCTCCTGCTAACCTTATAACTTGTAGCCCAGTGGTTAGGTCACTCATTTGGGATATGGGAGATCCAGATACAATTCCTGCATCTGACAGAGATGGGATTAAGATTTGGCCAGGGGTCTTCCACCTCTCAGATGAGTGCTCTGACCACTGTGCTATGGGATATTCTGATTTGGAGCTCCCTCAATCTGTCCTGTTGAAGCTATTCCACTGTGGATAGATACTAAAATAGTCACTGGGTGAGAGAGAATGAGAGTGCGTGGGAATGACTCTGTAATGCAATTATTGGGATTTTGGGGAGGTGGGAAAGTCCAGGTCTGGTCCTCCTGCTTAAGCCATTCTTTCATTATTGATCCACAATGAGACTGCTTCAACAGGAGAGACTTTGGCCTGGTCTACACTACGACTTTAATTCGGATTTAGCAGCGTTAATTCGAATTAATCCTTAACCCGTCCACACAACGGAGCCAGTTACTTCGAATTAAAGGGCGCTTAAAATCGATTTCTGTACTCCACCCCGACAAGCGGAGTAGCGCCAAAATCGATTTTGTAAATTCGAATTAGGGGTAGTGTGGCCGCAATTCGATGTTATTGGCCTCTGGGAGCTATCCCACAGTGCACCACTGACCGCTCTGGACAGCAATCTGACCTCGGATGCACTGGCCAGGTAGACAGGAAAAGCCCCGCGACCATTTGAATTTCATTTCCTGTTTGCCCAGCGTGGAGAGCACAGGTGACCACAGATAGCTCATCAGCACAGGTAACCATGCAGGCTGATAATCAAAAAAGAGCACCAGCATGGACTGTTCGGGAGGTACTGGATCTGATTGCTATATGGGGAGAGTGCTAGCAGAACTTCGTTCAAAGAGACGAAATGCCAAAACTTTTGAAAAAATCTCCAAGGGCATGATGGAGAGAGGGCACAATAGGGACTCAGATCAGTGCCGCGTGAAAGTGAAGGAGCTCAGACAAGCCTATCAAAAAACAAAGGAGGCAAACGGTCGCTCCGGGTCAGAGCCGCAGACATGCCGCTTCTACGCCGAGCTAAATGAAATTCTAGGGGGGGCCGCCACGACTACCCCACCTCTGACCGTTGATTCCGAGGCGGGGATAATCTCAGCTACACCTGAGGATTCTGCGGACGAGGAGGAGGAGGACGAGCTTGCGGAGAGCACCCAGCACTCCGTTCTCCCCCACAGCCCTGAGCTTTTTCTCAGCCTGAGTGAAGTACCCTCCGAACTCTCCCAAGCCAGTATCCAAGACCACGACCCCATGGAAGGGACCTCAGGTGAGTTTACCTTTTAAAATATAAAACTTGTTTTAAAAGCAAGGTTTTTTAATGATTATTTTGCCCTGAGGACTTGGGATGCATTCGCAGCCAGTACAGCTACTGGAAAAGTCTGTTAATGTGTCTGGGGATGGAGCGGAAATCCTCCAGGGACATCTCCATGAAGCTCTCCTGGAGGTACTCCAAAAGCCTTGCCACAAGGTTTCTGGGCAGTGCAGCCTTAGTCCGTCCTCCATGGTAGGACACTTGACCGCGCCATGCTTGCAGCAAGTAATCTGGTATCATTGCCTGACAAAGCCTGGCAGCATATGGTCCCGGTGTTTGCTGGCATTCAAGCAACATATGTTCTTTATCTTGCTGTGTAATCCTCAGGAGAGTGATATCGCTCATGGTAACCTGGTTGAAATACGGGAATTTAATTAAGGGGACAGAGGTGGCCGTTCCTACTGGGCTGTTTGCCTGTGGCTGAAAAGAAATCCTTCCCTGCAGTTAGGCGACCGCGGGGGGGCGGGGGGATTGGCCCAGAGCTTTTCGCGTTTGGCTAGCAGGGATCTTCCCTGTTACCAGCCACGCGGTCGGGGGAGGGATACAGCGATCATCCCAGAGAATTGGATGGTGGGGGGGTTAGTTTGTTTTCTGCTGCTGAAGGTTAACAGGAAAACCGCAGCAGTCAACAGGCTTTGCTTGCTATGTGGGAAAGGAGGGCGCAGAAGCCGAAAGACAATGGCTTACCATGGCTGCCTGCAAGCTGAATTCTGTTGCCCGGACCTGCGTCTGTGATCTCTAACACCAAAGCCACAGGCACTCAATATTAAGAGGCAAAATCACATGTGCTATGTAATGTGAATAGTGTTGGTCACCGTGAAAGAGTATAAGCATTGTTCCGCAAAATGTATCTTTTTAAAAAATTCTCTCATTTTTTCCCTCCCTCATGCAGCTGCAAATTCTTCAAGCCTCCCTCCTCCATCCCGAAGGCTAGCACAGATAAGGCGTCGGAAGAAGAAGACGCGAGACGAGATGTTTGCAGAAATCATGCAATCCACCCGCAGTGACAGAGCTAATCTGAATGAGTGGAAGGACACGGTTTCAAAGTATAGGAAAGAAGCCAGTGACCGTGAGGACAGGAGGGACCAACGTGAGGACAGGAGAGACGCTCGAGATGAGAGGTGGCGGCAGGAAGATCAGAGGAGTCGGGAAGCAACGCTGGGGCTACTGCGAGAGCAAACAGACATGCTCCGGCGTCTGGTGGAGCTTCAGGAACGGCAGCTGGATTACAGAGTGCCGCTACAGCCCCTGTATAACCCCCCTCCCCCCTCACCATGTTCCATAGCCTCCTCACCCAGACGTGTAAGAACGCGGGGGGGGAGGCTCCGTACACCTTCCCATTCCACCCCAGTGGACAGCCCAAGCAAAAGGCTGTCATTTTTTTAACCTTTTTTTAGTGGCCTTTTCCTTCCCTCCTCCCAAACCCCACTCAGGTTCCCTCCCTCTTTTTATAATCTATGAATAAAGAATAAATGATTTTTAAACGATAGTGACTTTATTTGGTTTGAAAGCAAGCTGGGGGAAGGGGGAGGGTGGGTTACTTACAGAGAATGAGTCAATAAAGGGGGCGGGTTTTCATGAAGGAGAAACAAACAAATTTCACACTGTAGCTTGGCCAGTCATGAAACTGGTTTTTAAAGCTTCTCTGATGCACACTGCTTCCTGGTGTGCTCTTCTAATCGCCCTGGTGTCTGGCTGCACGTAATCAGCAGCCAGGCGATTTGCCTCAGCCTCCCACCCTGCCATAAAGGTCTCCCCCTTACTTTCACAGAGATTGTGGAGCACACAGCAAGCAGAAATAACAATGGGGAGATTCCTTTGGCTGAGGTCAGAGCGAGTCAGTAGCGATCGCCAGCGACCTTTTAAACGGCCAAATGCACATTCTACCACCATTCTGCACTTGCTCAGCATGTAGTTAAACAGCTCCTGACTCCTGTCCAGGCTGCCTGTGTATGGCTTCATGAGCCATGGCATTAAGGGGTAGGCTGGGTCCCCAAGAATAACTATTGGCATTTCAACATCCCCAACGGTTATTTTCTGGTCCGGGAAGTAAGTCCCTTGCTGCAGCCCTTTAAACAGAATAGTGTTCCTGAAGACGCGAGCATCATGAACCCTTCCCGGCCAGCCCGCGTTGATGTTGGTGAAACGTCCCTTGTGATCCTCCAGTGCTTGCAGCACCATTGAAAAGTACCCCTTGCGGTTTACGTACTGGCTGCCCTGGTGCTCCGGTGCCAAGATAGGGATATGGGTTCCATCTATCGCCCCACCACAGTTAGGGAATCCCATTGCAGCAAAGCCATCCACTATGACCTGCACATTTCCCGGAGTCACTACCTTTCGTAGCAGCACCTCAATGATTGCTTTGGCTACTTGCATCACAGCAGCCCCCACAGTAGATTTGCCCACTCCAAATTGATTCCCGACTGACCGGTAGCTGTCTGGCGTTGCAAGCTTCCACAGGGCTATCGCCACTCGCTTCTCAACTGTGAGGGCTGCTCTC